AGTTGCTTTATAAAAGAAAGATGGAAATGTTGACTAGAAATGACTTATAAGCGTTTTTCCCATCAAATTTTCCTGAAAAAACCAAAACAGCAATTTTGACTTCATAAACATAAGGGAAATTTCAGGGTAGATTCTGGTCCTGTGTCCTCAAAACCCCCTTCATAACTGGAGGACTCAGTCCCTCAGCTTCTAAGCGGAGTCCCTAATCACATTCCACTTCTCTAGCCTCCATCTCAGAGTCTGCATCCCTGAGAACCCAAATTTCTACAATTTGGTATAATTTTCCTGGACCTGAAGGATAACTAGAATTTAACTAGTAACTAAAAATAATTAATGGTTATTGGAAAATGACCATTTGTTTTTATGCTTCTTTATATTTCATTTAAATGCTTCTCTATTTAAACAAATGTAATGCACATATGTATATTATAATATAATAACATATATAATAATAACATCTGAATATCTATGCCATACCTTCTTAGATGGTCTGCATGGAAAAAAAAACATTAAGAAGAGTAACAAAATACTAATAAAAGAGAGCTGGTGGAGGGGGCGAATTCAAGTGTGATATATTTGATACACTATAAGAACTTTCGTAAATGCCACAATGTACCCCCACCCAGCACAATAGAAAAAAATAGTTACCTTAGTAAATAAATAAATAAACTGTGCAGAAGGCTTTGTGTAGAGGATCTATAAAGAGAGGATCTGTAATCTTCATGGTTTTCTTAAAGTCTGTGATACAAAGAAGTTAAGAAATTAGAGCACTTTTTCCCAAACTTGTCTCATAAAAACCATCAGGTGAGAAATTCTCTGAGAGTTAGTACTAAGTCCATAAAAGTTGGCTTGGGCTCATAAATTTTCAACAAGTTGTTCAGGTAACTCCAAAATTAAATTCAGTAGAACACAAGTTTCATATTGCCAACTTAAAGATTAAAGCATAGTTCTATATTGATTTCCATTGCTAGTACAACAAATTACCACACAATTAGAGGTTTAACAGAGTTAGATACAGTTCGGTAGATCAGAAATCTGACATGGATCTCGGTGGACTTAAATCAAGGCATTGGCAAGGCTGTGTGCTTTTCTGGTGGCTCTTGGGGTAAATGTATTGCCACACATTTTCCACTTTATAGAAACCATCTACATTTCTCACTCAGCCTCCCATTCCCTTATCTTCAAAGACAGCAAAGATACATCTCTCAGATTACAAAAGTCACAACCACTCCACTTCCCTTTGTCTTTCTTCTTTTGCCTCCCTCTTTCAATTTTAGGGAAAATATGATTATAGTGGATCTCCCCAAATAATATGGAAAATCTCCCTATTTTATGGTTGTTTGATTAAGAATCTTAATTCCATCTTCAGGTTTAATTCCTCTTTGCTACATAACCTAAAATATTCACAGAGTTCACGGGTTAAGATGTGGGCATTTAAGGAGGTCATAGCTTACCACAAATTCTTCTATGGTACCCACGGGGGGAAAACCCTCCCCTACCTTTTGTTTAATAACCCAGTTAATGAGCCTTCCACCACTTGCTGTTATATAATTATCTGGTCAGTAGGATTAATAACCAGTAGGAACTTGTGAAACTACTATTTAATTTTCTGTTTTCAATAAATAGTACCTAGTCACAGGTGCTATAGGCCTGGTGGCTCCTTGAGGTCAGGCACCATGTTGCTTTTATTTCTGTAATGCTTAGAATTTAGCTCATCGACTACCAGCTAATCAGCATACAGATAATGTAGCAGAATCATTGTGATGGCTGATTATATTCATGTTTAATTAACAAAGCCAAAGACCTACTTTCTCTTTTAATGATTCTTTTACACAGAGAAGTTAATAGCATGATTCAAATTCTTCTTTCACCACACTTACTAATTGCTACTTATCATGAGTATTTACTGTCATTCCCAAATAAACCAAACTCTTGTATCCCAAAGTCTACCTGGAATTTTATGCTTGCTTTTTGGGTAGCTAGCCATTAGTAAATATTAGATTATTTTAGATAAATTTAGTTTAGTGGTGAGAGGAGCAGTGGTCTCTTAACAACCAGTCACATCGTTTCATCAATAATAGGAATTTATCAGGTGTTAGACCCTACATCTGTACACACACACACACACATACACATCATTGCTAATTTAATCTTTGAAAATTCCTCTACACACTTATCTCCTCATTTCCAGATTGCAGAAAAAGTTTCAGCAAAATTTTCCAGTCCCATATCTAGGAAATTGCACCCAAAATTCTAGAGCAAGGAAGCAAAGGAATAATGGTGCTCTTGTGTGACATCACTCTTCTGACCAAATAACAATTTAACTTCTAGTTTTGATCTTCTCATAAAAATAAAATTCAACAAATGTCATGTTGTTTTTAGTCAGCGGGAAATCATTTATGAGTTCTGTTTGAAGCATACTCCAAACCTAAACTATACTTCATATTACATACATAGCTGTTTGCTCACATGTCACATCCTGTGTAAACTTTCCATAAGTTTTTAACAAAAACTTATAAGTATTTAACAAAATCAGAACCTCTTTCAGTTTTTCACACTGATCTGACTCTCCCTTTCTATCTGGCTTCACCTAACTCTGCTGTGCCTAGAGGCGGCAGGCACACTGGGCTCCTTTAGTTTCTCCACATACTACCTCTTCCCTCTCTTGCCTTTTTCCTGAGTTTCTCTCTCTCTTTGTCTTTCTCTCTCTGTCTTTCTTTCTCTGTGTCTCTCTCTCTATCTTTCTCTCTGTGTTTGTGTCTCTCTCTGTCTCTCTTTCTTTTTGCCTCAGTTATGTCTTTTCATCCCTACTTTTGATCACTTACCCGAGAACCCTTATTGTTTCCTTCCAAGAACTTAATGTGATTGGTATTTTAGTTTACTTGTTTATTGATGGTCTCATCATGCCCTGACATGTATTCTACAGGCAGATATTCTAGGTTCTGAGATGGTGCCCAGGCTCCTGTATTGTAATGTTTCACAAGTGATTCTGATTCCTGCCAAAATTTGAGAGCACCTGCTAACTGTGTTCATAGTACTGATAGTTCCACCTGTGTCTGTCAAGCTCTGTAAATTTAACCTTTGTTTAACTCATATGTTAGTGGTCAGCATTTATAGGTACTTTCTGATTTTGGTAGTTAATGAGCACGGGATACCTTTATTATTCTCGCACTCTTATCTCTTGCTTTATTCTAACTGTGCCTTTTGTTCTTTAACCTGCTTTAATGCTGATATCTTGGATTTATAATGTAATATAGGAATGTAAGGTGGAATTTATACAGAATATTTTATTCTTAAGATTGTCAGAGTTACCAAATAGTCCAGCAAATAATAGTTACAATAATTTTTTTTATTGTTGTTGGTGCTGGGTAGGGGTGCATTGTGGCATTTACAAAAGTTCTTCCAATATGTTAAATATATCATACCCCTCCACCATACTCCTTTAACTCCCCCTCCTCTCATTCCTCGAACAGCTTCAGCAGGTACCATTTTTCCATTTACATACATGTGTGCACAGTATTTGCACCATAGTCATCATCTCACAACTTTTCCCCACCTCCTCCCCCCTCCCACCGGTACCAACGCCCCCAGGCAGGACTTGTTCTGCCCTCTTCTCTCATTTTGTAAAAGAAAAAAAAAATGACATTTTTGTTTGTTTAAGATAGCTACACAGGGAGTTTCCTTTTAGAACCTAGCAGTGAATTTTAATGTATTATGTATTTGCTAGGCCACAACTTAATATAAAATCCTTGGTTTTTTTTCCTAAAGTTGCTTTTATTTTAAATATAGGTATATATAATATATGATATATTATGTACTATAGTATTTTGTATATTATAGATTTATATACAGTACTGTTTAAAAATAAAAGCAATTGTGGAAATAAATGGTTTTGTATTAATTTGTGGCTGAACAAATATTCTATTTTGTTTTAATTCACTGTCAGGTTCTAAATTTGTACCTATTTGTTTTCTTCTTCTATAGGGCTTTTGCTGCTTTTAAATTAAATTCTTCAGAGGCAAATCTTGTGGTCATTGCAATCACACAAAATTTGAGATTTTGAGATACAGCCCAGCCATAAGTCCTTAAATCTCATTCATTTCTTATCTTTCACCAATTATTTTTTCTTTAAACGTTTTGTGCTGTGAAAAAATAATGAAATAATAAAAGCAAATATTAAGATTATATTGCACCAGTTATGCATTCTAATCATGTTTATCTATTCAGATCCCGTAGTACTAGAAAAAAAGGTTGGTAACATTTCAGACACTTGTTTTTATCTTTTCAGAACTCTCCTTATTTTGGAATAGGCTGGTAAGTATTTTGCAGTTCACCATCCATTCAAAGAAACATGTAACGTTTTCTAAAATACTGAACTATAGTTTAAAAATTTGTTTTGCGAACATGGTACCATCTCCATTCTGCTAACATGAAAACCATTTCCTACAAAATTTTTTGAATTTGAGAGAAGAAATTTTGCTCATAAAATAGACAAAAATGAAGCTTATCTTTTGCAATCTAAGTAACCTAAGAACCTTTGGAGGAAACTTCTCAAAATACTCTATTTAGATTATACATGCTGATTTGGTGGCATTTCTGCCTATTTTAAGAAATGTTGGTAATCTTGATTGAGATACATCTTTTATCAGTCATATTCATACCACTTTTTAATACCAAGAAAAATAAGGAATGTTATTTTTCCTTCTTTCACATTTTTTCTTTTGAAAAACAGAGCTGTTCTCCACCTTCCCACTCTATATCAACATTTTCCAGAGTTGATATTCAGAGTTGGATAGAAAAAAAATATTTTTTTCTACATTTTTCATGTAAATGCATTTTATCATACCAAATCATGAACATACTTGAGAGGTCCATCAGATAATCAGTAATTTTAGGCAGCCAGCAATGTTGAACAATAAACTGTTCTGATATAATCGGAATAGCTTTTGTCTTCCTTCCATGTTGTAATTCACATATTGGTGGTCTTTTGATGTTCCTAGATATCCGTGGAATACAGGAGTTTTTGGACAAAGTATCTCAGCAAGGAATGGATGTTGCACTTCAAAAGGTAGAAAACAACATCAATAAAATGATCACCACTCTCTTTGATACCATGAGGATAGAGGAATTGAATCGCTATCGAGACACTCTAAGGAGAGCCATCCTTGTGATGAATCCTGCCACAGCCAAATCCTTCATTAGTGAGGTAAGCAAAACTGTCATGGGTAGGGGTAGGCCATAAAATTAAATTCTTTGGAATGGACCCTACAGAGGAGATGAAAGTCAAGCACAAGATGAGGTAATTAACTGCACAACCTCATTAATGCTAATAGAGGTAGCTCAGTGAATTCCCTGCTCATCTCATTTACCCCACTCTGCCCAGTTAATTGGTAAGAATGCTTGTATTTATATATATTTAGGCATATAGCCAGGACAATTTTAAAAAGTCTTATGGGATTTAAAACTGCTATTGACCTGAATGAATCTAGCAAGTTTAAAACTGGATTCACAAGGGTAGAGATAACTAATCCTTATTTTTTTGTTGTTGCAAGTTAAAATTTAACTTCTGAGAAAAGACATACTTGAACCAGGCTATGATTGCCTAGACATGATTACTTTTACAAAACCATATAGTAGATTTTCTTCTTCTCTGGGAATTCTATACCAAGACAAGTAATTAAAACTTTTTGAAACTGCAACATGATGACCACTGCACATTTTGTGATGCTGCATCCTGAAATTTTTATCAGGTCTGTTAATTCAGTTAGAAGCTCTAAAACTTTGTAAAAATGCAAACAAAACTTGCTAGTGATTGCAATAAGAATGCTATACTTGAAAATGTTTGTAATTGCTTGTGGAAGTGTCAAGGATGGAACTTGTCATGGTTGGTGTCCTGAGGAGGTGCTGTTTGCTTTAAGCATTAAAAGACGTATGGAGTTGGATCAGGCAGAGACAATACAGAAGTTCATTCATTCTAAGCCACAGGAAAGACATGGACAGAAGCACAGAGGCAGGGGATGCAAGAATGCAAAGAGTCAAGAAATGAATGAATGAGGAATGAGTGCTAAGTACTCTGGCTAAGAAGTTCGATGGTGAAAGTAAAGATATACTGTAAATAATTTTTTAAAGCTCCTTGTGATGACTGCCAACAAAACAGAAAGTATTTCATTTTAGGATAAGAATAAGCTGAGTGTTTTCACATAGGTCTTAGGATAGTAACTACTGAAAGGGAAATTGTAGAATAGAGAAAAAATATTGATGTAACTGTAAGGTTCTGCCGAATTAAGACCACGCCACGTGTGGAAAGGAAAGATTTATTAAGATCCAGACTGCATGGTTTCCCCCCCACCGCAGGTCAGAGAGCCGCGACTTGGGTGAATTGGGTAGTGGGCTTTATAGGAGGGGGCAAGCCATGAGGAAGGGAGAGAGTCTCTGGTCTCTGATTATCTGCAATCTCCAGATGGAACAGATTGACATGCCTGACTAGTTGAGTAACTGGAAGCTGCTGAGTTGTTTTGCAAGCTGAGATACAATCAGGCAGGGAGAAACAAGCAATCATAAATCAGGGGGTCTGGTTTTAAGGTGTAGCCTCGGATCCCTCCGCCCGCCCCAAGAATGCCAGGAACCTAACAGTAACCAGGTACAATAACTCATAGAAGTTCACTAGGGAAGAGATACCCATGACCAAAAGCCTAAAATTGCTGTTTCAAAGGTAGATGACATTTTTCAGACTTTGTTAAAGGTGTTTTCTTTGACCATTCTTGTATTTCTCATAATTAATTTCATATTTGTGTGAATTTGAATTGTATTCTCACTCTGTGTCCTGTATTTAACACTGAACTTAAAGATTTGTGATAATCAATTGCTTCATATTTGTTCCTAAACATGTAACATCTGTTTATGGTTTTTCATAAGCAACTTCTCTCCTTTTCCCCACTCTGCCATATTTTTCTAAGTAACTTGTATTATATATCTCCAAATTATAAACAATTTTATTCCACACTTGCCTCAAGCAGTGATATAGGGATGATAGAAAAAATATGAACCACCACACCCCCATCCTCAGCTGGTTGCACTGTTCTGTGACCTGCATATTGCTTCTTATTTCTTAATTAACTGTTTTTAGATACCTCCAAGTTTGAACCTTCTTGTTTATGGGTTCTAGGAGTGCTTCCCCTGTTTAGGGAAGCACTGACCTTGACCTTGTCAATGCTAGAAGCAGTTCATTCAAACAGCAGGCAGCACAGAATTCAAAGAATGTACACAAAGAGGAATACTTCTTGGCCTGGAGAATAATTCTGTCTAGTGGAGGACTCAGGCACAGGACTAAGTATTAAAATGTGTAAGAAAAAATGCTGTCATGGTGACAGATAAATAGTGCTTCTGGATCCCCATAAGAGAGCTAGCTCTATAGAGAACTTGACTGGAGTCAGCACCGAACTTCACAGAGAAAATTTTTCAGCAGAATCTTGAAAAATGAATAAGAATTCATCAGGCAGGCAATGTAGGCAAACCCCAATTTAGACTGTGTAAATGTGTGTGTATATGTAATACATAGATAGAGATAAAAGTTAAAATCTACTGAGGGTCTTTTTGGTAATGGAAAACAGAGTTCATCAATCCTTTACTTTTTACCTCCAGTTATTTTCAGAAGAGATAACTAATTTTTAGTTTTTAATTTGTTACTATTATTCTGTATATTCAGATAGTTCAAATTTAAAAGGTTTAAAAAGACATTATTGCTAAAATGCTTTATTTCCTCATCCCAAGGCAAACAATGTGTCTTGTGTGGCCTTCCCAGTACACACACACACACGTTTTTAGTCTTTTTTTATAGAAATGGTGATATACTATGTGTATGTTACCTGCTTCTTTTTCTAAGAAATATCTAGGATATTGCTCCATTGAGCTACTTGAAGTATTGCTCATAATTTTATATGTTATGTAGTATTCTATTGATAGGATTGTCCCTTTTGTCTTTTAGTTTTTTCTGTTTTTACTTATTCTGGTGCATATTATTGATTTGTTATTCTATTTCCTTCCTATTTCTTTTTGGATATGATAAATGAAAATTTAGTTCATTTGCTTTACCCACATCAAACCCTCTTCTCAGCAGAGCTCTAACACAATTTTAAGTGACATTAAATAAGCACCGCTTTGTTTCTACGGCATCAGTCAAGCACACTATTCTACCTGCAAAGATTCTTTCACTATTCCTTCACTTTTCTATACCCAGCTTTTAAGATCCACAGCTTGGCTTTTATAAAGAGTGTGTTGTGAACATATATCTTCAATTTTGTAACCCTAAACAAATATTTCATATCTTGTCTAAAAGCTGATACTTTAAGAAGTAAATCTGTAAATGTGCTTATGATTATCACTATAAGTATTTTTCATGGCACAAGAAAACATGAAGATAAGATTATGTTGAATTTCCTCAGGTTCAGGTATTTCATTCGCATTATTATTTTTCTTACTTTTTCTTCAATTCTGTCATTGTTGGCTGCTTAAATTCTAAATTATTTTCTTTATTTTGCTTTTTTGTCGGTACTGAGAGTTGAATTCGGGGCCTTGCACTTGCTAGGCAGGGACTTTACCACTTGAGCCACTCTGCCAGCCCTTTTTATGTTGTAATTTTTGAGATAGGATCTTGCTTTATGCCCAGGCCAGCCTGGACTGTGATTCTTGGACTTGTGCTTCTCCACAGTGCAGTTGTAATGACACATACACAACACCCTGCCAACCATTGGTTGGAATGGGAGGGTCTCACAAACTTCGTCCAGGGTTGGCCTTGGACTGCGATCCTCTCCATCTCAGCCTCCCAAGTAGTTAGGAGTCACTGTGCTCATCTAAATTCTTAGCTTTAGCAGTAAATCTCCAGAATCCCTGTTTCTTGACTCGATTGGCAACCCAAAGACCTTTGTTTCCTGTGCTCTTTCTGGTACTTCCTTCAAATCCAATCAATTTTAATGAGTCAGGTTCTTAAGTTCGTAGATCTCACGTATTAGACTTTCTTGGTTTCCTTTTTCTCTTTCCTTCTTTTTATTCTTGGGAATATCTTCAAGTACCTTCTTAAGAAGGGTATATTGAAGGTAGAATTTATGATTTTCATTTCTGGAAATATATTTATTCTAACTTCAAACTGGGCAGATCAGAGATTTTCATTTTATTGAAGGTAAAATGTATATTTATATACTGCCTGTGTTCTAGAGTAGTAATGCCAACTTTCACCACCAGGAAGTCAATCTACACCTATTTCTTTTATAAGAGAAATTTATGCCTTTTTAAAAATTTCAGAATGATGAATGTTACTTCCAAGGACATTTTGCATGTGACCTTGTAGGAGAAGGCCCTGGTAGAATTAGCATGTAATGTTCTTTATTCATTTATTCCATTTTATAAGTTTTCCTCCTCATTAAAATGTATTTATAAATCCAAAATCATATGTGGGATATTGTGGTGATCAGTTATTTGTGGAGCTACAAAAAGTTCGAGTTGTTCAATAGCCACATTCTCAGGTAAGGTCAAGCAAAGCCACTCTCTTCATTCTCATTTTATTCATCATATTGTAAGTGAGTATGCCTTCTACAATCTATTTAGTAGGTTTTTAAAATTTTTTGTGACTTTTTTAGTGACTTTGCTGTTTAAAATGTCTCTCATATATAGTGATGAGGACTGTCTAGTGTTCCTAAACACAAGAAAGTTTTGATGCCTCACCTAGAAAACTTCAGGGCAGACTTACAGTACTGTTTACCATGAATTCAATGTTAATGCACCAACAATATATAATAAGTAAAGTGAATTTAAACAGAAATCCACAGAATCAGAGACTTACAAGAACCAGATCCCATATTTCCTATATGAGCAACAACAATACAATATTCAGTAATTCAGTAGCACAGGGATGCTATAAAATATATCTACAGCAAATGATAAGAATTGACTATTTTCTCACATTTGTCAGCCCCACCCCCAACCCATTTCTATCTTCTGTTTGGTGTGGCATTTTTGAGCATGACAACTTCTAAGATTTAGCAAAACAGGATCTCTGTGCTCCACTGCTGCACTTGTAATGATATCTAACCTCTAGCTTCTGTCACCATGCTTCTCCGGGTATCACTTCTTTCTCTGCAGTATTTCCCAGTAAGTTATATTTTTTTAAAAAAAACCATTCTGGTGGTCTCTTTTTTCCCTCACAGCTGTTGG